CTGGGGAGGAGGGGTCTAAAGAACAGAAGGAAGTTAATGAAAGGGAGGCTCAGTCCTACTGGGGGGGCTCGGGAGGAGGCGTGGCGTGTGGCCCAGCGTCACGGCATCTCCTGGTGATGATCCCGAAGGCAGGGGCTTGAGGTCCCCTGCAGGCCTGTGGGGTGTGATCTTCCTGTTAACTGGGGCCCTGGGGGTGCATGTGCACGTGGATGTTTGAGACCCATGATGTGGAACCCACGTCTGTTGTCACCCACAGGGCGAGGAGGCAGGGGCAGGTGTCCCCCGCCCCCAGTCCACTGAGGTGGTGCTGGAGGCTTTAGCTCATTGGCGCTCGGGCCTGCCTTCCGCATGGGCAGAGGAAAGGCAGAGAGGAGCGTGCTTAGGAGGAACTTGCCGCGCTGGAAGGGGGTGCTGAGGATGCTGGTGGGGCCCCGATGGCCTGTGCTGCTTGTACCTGTCCTGCTCGGGTGCATGCAGGCGCCCCATGTAGCTCTCACTGGCCACCTGGCTTCTTGCAGATGGTGGCTGCTATCTTAAAAAAAAGTTACACTGAGAGGGTGAATGGTCTAAGCTGTGGTCCTCACAGTTGCTGTTGATCCTAAGTGATAGTGACGATCTCCCTCCAGCACCTTTGCGGCTCCCAATTGTTTTCCTGACACAGCACGGAGACCTTCATTTCTGGCAGAGCTGGCCGTTTGGCTACCGTGCCTCTGCGAGGTTGCTGCTGCTACAGTTGCCTGCTCGTGGTTACCCCCAGGCAGGGAGCCCCAAGAAGCACCTTGGAATCCTCTGAATTTTAGAAAGTCCTGAAAACACCCAGCTCACTGGATAGCTTGTGTCTGGTGGCCCAGCGTTTGTCCCCAAGTGGGCCCAGTCCTACACCAGGAGTGACTTTCTGAAGAGTAAACAATTCTCTCCTGCACTTGGCATGACCTTGAGCAGGAGTCAGCAATTGATGAACTAAACCTGGCCCATCACCTGGTTTTATATGGCTTGCAAGCTAAGAATAGTGTTTATAGCTTTAAATGGTTGCATGGGAAATAGTTGTTTGAGCACACATTGTGCTTGATTTAGCCTCCTGGTCTGCAGAGCCGGAAATGTTGGCTGTCTGGCCCTTTCAGGGATGGTTTGCCAACCTTAGGGGTCTCCACTGCAGTTCTCTCTCTCTCTCTTTTTTTTTTTTTTTAAAGATTTATTTATTTATTCACACAAGAACCAGGGTACAGGCCAGATGCGTGGGAGGGTGAGAGGATTCACCAGGACAGAGTGGGGAACAGAACAGACAGACTGATGAAATACACTGCTGAGGGGAGCAGTGGGTGTGACAGGAGAGGTCTGGTGCACCATGTGGGACCCTCGCTGGCCAGCCGGGATCAAACCGGTGCTGCAGAGGCTGCGGGCAGCTTCACAGCGCGGCGCTCAACCGCCTGCGCCTCCAGGGGAGGTCCTCTACTGCAGTTCTCTTATTGGGCCTTGATAGTGACATCACATGGTATCCTTGTCCACCTTGGATTCTCCTAGCACTTTGGGGGCTGCAGACCATCTGACCCCGCCCAGCAGTGCTGCCTGAACCTGCCAGAATTCTCTGTGCTCGGCCCCACTGCAGCCTGGTGATTCACGAGCTCATCGGACGGCAGTGTTTCCAAGCTTGCTAGTGTTGATTCCCAGGCCCAGAGAACCCTAGCAAGCTCTGCGTCCCCTTTTTAGTGGTAGAATGTAAGACTTGCCCTAGACTAGAGGCCCTAAAAACTTCCCTTGGGTTCCTGAATATTTGCAGGGTCTGTGCCCTGACATTTGGGGCGTATATGCTGCACCAGGGCAGCCAGAGCGCTTGCCACTGGCTGCCTACTTGGCCTGGTGAGCACAGGGCAGTGCGGCTTTGCAGAACGTCCTGGTGACCCAAGGCCCCGTGGACGGGTGATGTGGTGATGGAGCGGAGAGTTCACATCAGTCTGGCCAAGACCATGAACATGTATGCCGTCTGCTCCAAGTTGGCAAGAATGGCTTCTCCCTCTTCCTGCTGGGAATTAGAAATAGGTGTTGTCGGCGCAGTAGCAGCAGCTGCCCTGGGTGAGGTTTACCATAGATAGAACTATGGTCCATCTGGATTTTTCAGGATCACGTCAGGGAATTAAGTGGCCGTGTGATGGAGACTCTCACCCCTGTTCTCCGAGGCGCTGCCAAGGCACCTGAAATGTGAGCTGGAGGGAGATTCGCCGGGCATTGACATGAGGGTCCTGCCAGCTGCTGAGTGTGTGCTCAGGGGCCAGGGAGTGACCAGGGAGTGGCCACAAGTGTCCAGGATGCACTGGACCTTCTGGGAGACCGTTGTATCAGGACCCCAGTGTCACCAGCACTGGGCACTGTCTCTTTAAGGGGGTGGAAGCTGGATGGCAATTTGGAGCTCTGCTGTATCAGCTCAGGCCCTGTATATGATGATGTTGAAATACTTGGGGGCCCTATTCCCCTGGGGTGCAATTACATTCACTAATGACTGGTTCTGGAACTGGTGCAGGTTTGGAAAGGATCGTGATTTTCCATTTTGGCAACTGACTTCGCCTTTGGCCCATCTGCTTGCTTTCCTGGCCTCTAGCAGAGAGCCTTGCCAGGACTCTGGTTTCGGCCGCTTTTGCTCCCCACCATCAGAACAAGGGGTCAGCTCCCTGCTGAGCTCTATAGTCGCTGGCTGCCTGTGGGCCTCTATAGGTGCTGGCTACTCTGAGCTCTGTAGTTTCTGAATCCCTCCTGGGTCCTATAGATGCAGCTAACTCCTGAGCCCTGTAAATGCTGAACCCTGCTGGGTCCTCTAATTGCTGTTCCCTGCTGAGTTCCATAGGTGCCGCCCCCCTGCTGAGCTCTAGAGTTTCTGAATCCCTCCTTGGTCCTATAGGTGCTAGCTAACTCCTAAGTCCTGTAGATGCTGAGTCCCTCCTGGGTCCTATAATTGCTGTTCCCTGCTCAGCTCTAGAGGTGCCAGCCCCCCTGCTGAAATCTGTAGGTGCTGGCTCCCTGCTGGGCCCTTTATTTTTTTTTTTTTAAAAAAAGATTTATTTATTTATGCATACAAGAGCTGGGGTACAGGCCAGAGATGTGGGGAGGAGGGTGAGGGGGGTGAGAGGACTCACTAGAGACAGAGTGGGGAGCAGAACAGGCAGACTGACCGAAGACACTGCTGAGGGGAGCGGCGGGCGAGACAGAAGAGGTCTGCTTTGCCATGTGGGTTGCTCCCTGGCCGGCTGGGGATTGAACTCGTGCTGCAGAGGCTGCGATTGCTTCATAGTGTGGTGCTTAACCCCTTGCGCCACCAAGGAGGCCCTATTTGTTTTTTTGTTTTTTTTTAAAGATTTATTTATTTATGCATATAAGAGCTGGGGTACAGGCCAGAGGTATTGGGGGTGCGAAGATTCACCAGACACAACAGGCAGATTGACTGAAGTACACTGCTGAGGGGAACGGTGGGCGAGTCAGGAGAAGTCTGCATTGCCATGCGGGTTGCTCCCAGGCCGGCCGGGAATTGAACTCACGCTGCAGAGGCTGCGGACAGCTTCATAGATTGCGTCTTAACCCCTTGTGCCACTAGGGAGGCCCTGGGCCCTATATGTGCAGGCTTCTTGCTGGGCTCGTATGGTTTTACTCCCTGCTGGACACTGAAGTTGGAGGCTCCCAGCTGGGCCCTATAGGTGGACCTCCCTGCTGTGCACTCTAGGTGCAGGCTCCCTGGTTTGTCCTATAGGTGCTGGCTAAATGCTGTGGGCTATAGATACAGGTTTTGCGCTGGGGCCATAGGTGCCGGCTCCCTGCTGGGCCCTGTAGTTGCCAGCTCAGCAGCACCGCCCCCTTCCCCAACACCAGCTACAGGGTCTGCAGGTGAAGGATCAAATTCCACAATCCTGACATAAGAGTCAAGCTTCTTACAACCCTACCCCCCTCAACCCTCTTAGGATGGGCTCCCCTGAGCCGACTTGGAGATAAGGATTTGCGAGCCAGTCATTCTTTTGGATGGTGAGACACCGGAGGGAGCCAGGGAGGAAACCAGTGAGGGACATTGTTGAGCAGGTGATCGCTCTTGATAACTAGAGCTCAATCCGCTGGGGACCCTGGGCTAGAGTTACTTTGCCCAGGGGGTGAGGGAGCTGGGGTATTGATCCCCCAAATCCCATTAGTCACTGACCAAGAGATGCTTCTGGAGGTGCCAGCTTCCCCAGCATTTTCAGCCCTCCTCGCATTCAAAGACCCACCGGTGGGAGCTGAGAGCCTGCATGAGGGTGGGGCAGGCACACAAGACCCCTGAGAGTTGGGGGGATGGGGCGGGCTCTGACAGGTACCTGCACCAGCCACTGGGCAAATATTTATCAGCTGTCTCCAACACCCCCGTTCTTCCCTGCTACAGTCCTGGCGAGGAAGAGGCCCCCAGTCCTCACTCTTAGAGTTTCCCTTCTAACCAGGGAGGCGGATAGTAAACTGGCTGAACAACTGCCAGTGGGGAGACGTGCTGGGCAAGAAACATGCTGAGGTTAGAGAAGAGTGGGGGAGGAGCCGAGAGGTGGGGCTCTCGGGAGGGAGAAGCATCCCAGGCCCAGGGAACAGCAAGGAAGGTTCTGAGCAGGAGGGAACTGGATGCATTAGTGTGAGGGAAGGGAGAGAGGAGGCACGTGGGCCCCATAATGGCTCTGCCAGCGGGGCGCAGGGCTGGCTTGGGGGCTCTGGCAGGGAGTTGCCTTTTCTTCAGAGTGTGATGGGAAGCAATGTGGGTTAGAATCTGGATCGGCATGATTTGATTTCCTTTTTAGAATCTTCCTCTGGCTGCAACCCCATCACCTGTTCCTCCCACACCTGTAGGTTTTTCTTTAGCATGAGGCTCTGAAGACAGGCAGAGGGATTCGCCCTGGTCCCTGTGCCTGGGGTGCTCAGTTCTTCCCCCTGCCTCAACCTGCCCCCGCCAACTCCCTGCCCCTGCCCCACGACACTGGACACAGGTGATCTATTGGAAGCTGGTTTATTCTGGCTGGTTTTCCATGGGGCTGGGCTGCACTGGGATGGGGGTGTATGGGCTCTGGAGCTCCCCTCTAGGGAAGTGGGTCTCCTTCCTCAGTACTGCGGCGGCCGAAGTCCATCCATCCGTATGCTTCTTCTTCTTCCTCCTGCCATGGCCCCTGCTTCTTGGAGAGGTCTGAGGGTCAGAGGTGGGAGAGGAGGTGAGACGGGAAAAGGAGTTCTAGCCTCCATGACTGAGGCAGGCCAGTCCAGGTGACCTTGGCAAAGCTGGCAGGGGGAGGCAAGCAGGGACAGTTGTCAGCAGCTCCTACCTGCCACCAGGTGTGGGGAGCCCTGGGGTCCCAGCTGCCTTCGGTGGTGAGAGGCTGGGCCCGGCTGATCCAGCCACTGCGGCTCCAGGCCTCTGCTGCCCCCTGGGCCCCCAGGTGTGTCCTGCAGCTGGGAGAGGGGCTTCCAAGAAGCTTCGGAGAAGGTGGCCAGGGCCAGCGCAGAGATCAGCAGGTACACACACAGTCGCTGCATCTTGTCTGCCAAGGAGAGGGGCGGGGCTTAAAGGTGGGGCTGTCCAGACAGCCTGGGCAGGGCCCGCGTGGACTCCAGGTCTCCACCATGGATACATTTGCAGTTCCCGGTGGGGCTGGTGAGTGCACCTCCAGGTCCTTCTCCCAGCTCCTGCCAGCTCCACCCTGCCCCCAAGCCTCGCTTCTTCCCTTCCTTACCCTTATCACAGCACCAGCTTCTCTGAGGAACTGAAAGCTCAGAGCCACGGTTTTCAAATTCTTCTACAGAATCTGAAGCCCTGGGAGTGACTGATTAAGTCTTGCAATGTGACGTGAACATTTTAATAGTCACGCCAGCGCTCAGTTGCATTACCCACCACACCGTCTCTCTTTGGAGACCCCCGTATCTTCACCGTGTGGTGGGACAACACCGTTTGTGTGCTCCCCTTGAGGGGCAGTTTTGCATGGTGTTGTTTTTACTTGGCTGAGGAATATCCGATGTAGTGAAGCAGTTGAAAAATGAAACTGAGTTGACTTAGCACTGAGCTGTGAGGGCAGAATTTGCTCACAACCTACTGGTTCATGAGTTTAGGAAATTGGGACAACCAGTTCAGTTTCAATTTTTGCAAAATGACTTTGAGAACGTCTCACAGGGTAGGGGTCTGCACTCGGAACACTCGGGTGGGTTCAGCTGTGTGTACAGCGTCACCCATGCTGCCAATGGGCAGTACAGCCCAGGAGCATCTGGCTTTGCCCTTGAACCTTCCCTGTACTTTGTGATCAGGGACGAAAAAATTATTTTCAGGGCCTCCCTGGTGGCACAAGAGGTTAAGACACAACCTATGAAGCTATCCGCAGCCACTGCAGTATGAGTTCGATCCCCGGCCAGGGAGATACCCACATGGTGCAGCAGATCTCTCCTGGCTTGCCCGTTGCTCCCCTCAGCAGTGTATTTCAGTCAGTCTGCCTGTTCTGTTCCTCACTCTGTCTCTGGTGAATCCTCTCACCCCACACACCTCTGGCCTGCACCCCAGCTCTTGTATGGATAAGTAAATAAATCTTTTAAAAAAAAGAAAAAGAAAAAATAATTTTCAAAGAAAACACATCCACCTGTCACCCTTTGCAGCTGGTATCAGGGTGAATCAAGTCTGGGGGAAGCATAATACAGAAATAAGCTGGCTGGGGGCCTCCCTGGTGGTCCAAAGCACTATTTCAATCTATCTGCCCGTTCTGCTCCCCACTCTGTCTCTGGTGAATCCTTTCACCCCAACACCTCTGGCCTCTACCTCAGTTCTTGTATGCATAAATAAAAATAAATCTTTAAAAAAAAAAAAGAAAGAAGCTAGCTGCTTGCCCTGGCCATGCAGCCCGTGCACACACAGCTGGGGGTGTGGGATGCAGCTGGGAAGATGTCACACGGAAGGGTCTTTTGGGTGTGCTGGTCTAGGAAAGAGTTCGCGGTGGGATCCAGGATCCGTGTTCTAGTCCCAGCCCTGACAATAATTTGCATGACTTTGTACAAGTCACACATCCCTTTGGGCCTCAGTTTTCTCACCTAAGACGTGGAGAATAGTCTTGGTCCTTCTTACCTCACAGGGCTGGGTTGGGTGTGGAAGAAGAGGGTCAGGGTGAGTAGCAGGCAGCCCAAAGACAAGGGTTGGGAAGACCAGGGTGGTCCTGGGGTGAGACCAGCGGTGTCCTGGGCTAAGGGAAGTCTCCTGGCCCTGCAGGTGCGCTCTGAGGCCGGAAACTTGATGGGGCGGGGGTCCAGCCAGCCCTTTCCTCACCCTCCTGGGGGACTCACCTGCAGAGGTGGGAGGTGGTGATGCTGTGGCCAGCGGTGTGCCTCTCTGTCTCTGCTCTTCTTGGGGCCGCAGCCCTGCCTTATAAAGCCCTCCAGGCCCCGCCCAAGCCCTGCCCCCTGCCAGGCCAGGCCTCTACCTTGAGAGGAGTGGGGTGGGGTCAGTCACCTCAGCCCTGCCCCACCCTGTCATCTAGAGTCAGTCACCTGCAGGTGGGAGACTGGAAGGGGCTTGACCTTCGAGGTGAGGGGCAGGGGCAGGGCAAGTGGACATGAGGACAGGCAGAGACAAGTTCCCTGGGTGCAGGACCAATAGCTCACAGTCCTGTACTCGGGGTCAGAGGCCTGGGGATCCCCACTTGGACTGTGTCCCACTGGGGGGCAGGCGAGGAGGATGGACGAGGCAACCAGGCTCAGAGGAAGCATGTGCCTCATACACCAATGTTTGCGGAGCAGAGGCATGGGCTGTGATGTATCGATTCCCTGTCCTGCTCTGCAAATAGGACGTGCGTGGTTATCAGGAGCGATGGGCCGTGGGCTGAGGCTGGAGGCTTCACCCTGTGCGTCTCTGACCACCTTCATCTCCCCTCACCTGGAAAACCCTGCATTGCCCCCTCCCCGCTCCTCAGTGCTGGCTGGATTGGGCTTGCAGATCCCCTCTAGCTCCCCAGGTCTGCCCTCTTCCCCCACTCTGCACTCGCCCCACCCCAGAAAATTCCTGAGGGTCCTGGCCTTGGAGGCATCTTCATTCTGGAGTCTAATCTGCATTATGCATTTACCACTCTTTAATATAAAACTACCTCTTAAAATGGTTAGTGGAGCACCTCCCTGGTGGTGCAAGGGGTTAAGTCTCAGCACGATGAAGCTATCACCAGCCACTGCAGCATGAGTTTCATCCCCGGCCAGGGAGCTACCCACATGGCACAGCAGACCTCTGCTGTCTCGCCCGCTGCTCCCCTCAGCAGTGTATTTCAGTTAATCTACCTGTTCTGCTCCCCACTCTGTCTCTGGTGGATCCTCTCACCCACCCCACACACGTCTGGCCTACACCCCAGTTCTTGTATACATAGATCTTAAAAAAAAATAAAATGGTTAATGCTGGGAGAAGCAAGGGTTGGCTAAGGTGCACCAGAAAACAAAATGTGCGCTTGCCGGCGTACACGACGAATCGCTGCCCGACCTGGTTTGAACAGATGCAGCTAGCTCTGGGCGGTTTTGATTTTCCAGGATTGGAATTAAAGATTTTGCTTGTTCACGCGTCATCAGGGCCCTCCTTGTCTGGGGGAGTTTTGATATTCCCTGCAGCCTGGAGCAGGGGCCATGGTACCCACGCTCACAGCCAGCCTTGCTGAGAATTAACAGGTGATGAAGGAAGCTGGCTGTGAGGTGTCCATGGCAACCAGCTGCCGAATGTTCTGGTGGATAACCCCTGTGATCCAGACTAGGACTCGGCTCGGCGGCACCGACTGCATGAAAAGGAAAGGGCAGTGCAGGCAGGTGATGATTAATGGGGTCACAGATTCTCAGAGGTGGAAAGGGCTTTGAAGGGCCTGGGGCAGGGGGTAGGTGGGGTAGGGGCAGCGCTGCTCACATCCTAGGGGAATAGAGACCTTGTTGCTGTGGTAACGGGACATGATCGGCTTTAGCAGAACCTGCTTATACCAGGGCCCGACCTGATTTCTGCCGAGGAGGCTTCCGCCTCCTTGGCTGCTCCTCCCCGGCGGCTGCATGCAGGGTGGCAACTCGCCAGGAGAAGCATGTTCTCCCACCAGGTGTGCAGCGAGGGCTCGTGATCAGCGCAGAGAGAGGCAGCCGTGCCCCAAGTTGCTCACCATCACCATGTTCTCACAAGGGAGCCTGACCTCACGGAGAGGGGAGGGTTTCCGGGCCCGGCCCTTGGTCAGCTGTTGAGCTTTGGGAAGCTTGCTCCCTGTCTCTGAGCTGTCTTCTCCTCCAGGAAATGGCGATATCTTGACGAGGACGATGACATCCAGCTCTGCGCACGGTGCCCAGACTTTGTGGGCACCTGATAGTCTGCCCTGGTCCCTGGCCCTCGCTAGCCTGCGGGCCTGTCTGTGAAGCGGGAATCATTCCTACTGCCCTCCCAGGGCTGCCGTCAAGGGGGCATGTGGCCTGTCCGTCGCTCGTCTCGCAGGCGTGGGGGCACATTTCCTCCCTCAAGACCTAAGGAGGTTAATTCCTAGAAAGCATTGCTATGAATCCAGGGTTTGGCCTCCTGCTGGTCATGATTCATGTGGACACTGGCCTGAGTCACCACTGAAAGAGGTAGCAGGCGTGGCGCTGACAGGGCCTGGACTCTCAGAAGCCAGTGCCTACACCGTGCAGAGGGTTTGGGAACTGGTGAGGCCCGCGTGGAATTCTGGCTCCAGCACTTTGACTAGCTGGGTGACCAGAAAATCCAGTTTCTGGGTCTACCAGGCTGACAAGCAGCTCCCAGACCCCAGGCCCAGCCGCTCTCCTTCCCCGAGGACCTGCCCTGTCCTCGGGAGGTGACAGTGCTGTGACAGGCACCCGTCAGCCTTTGCATGAATGAGCTCGGTCGCCCTTCGCCACACTCCTAGTGCGTAAATGCTCGTGTGTTCCCATCTTACAGGTGAAGAAACAAGTGGGTGAAGAATGCTGTCCTGAGTTCACAGATCCAGGAGGGAGATCTGGGCCTGAGACTCACTCAGGTCCTGCTAGTTCCAGGATCTTCCTCCTTCCAGGTGGGCAGAATAATCGTCACCCAACGTGTCCAGGCCCAACCCCTTGCATCTATGATTAGGCGACAGAACATGGCGAAAGGGACTTTGCAGATGTAATTAAGGTTACAGGCCTTCACAGGGTGAGTTTCTCCTGGGTTATTTGATGGGCCCAATTCAATCTCGCGAGCTCCAAAGGCAGAGGCAATAGGCACGCAGCTGAAGGCTGATTCAGAGACGGAAGCTCACAAAGACCTTCACCTGCCCTTCCCGGGTGGAAGATAGGCAGGGAGGCTCTCAGGAGTGCAGCTGACCTCAAGCTGCTGAGAGGCGCCCGGTGAGGGCTGAATTTAGCCAACACCCCGATGGGCCTGGAATCCATCTACCCCACAGCCAGAAGGGAATACACGCTGGTGACACCTTGGTCAGGCCCACCGAGCCTATGGGACCAGAACGGTAAGAGAAGGAATTGGTGGTGGTGTCTTTTTTTTTTTTTTTTAAAGATTTGTTTTATTTATTTATGCATGCAAGAGCTGGGGTGTAGGCAAGAGGTGCAGGGGGTGAGAAGGGAGACAGAGACAGAGTGGGGAGCAGAACAGGCAGATCTACTGAAATACACTGCTGAGGGGAGCAGCGGGGGAGACAGGAGAGGTCTGCTGTGCCATGTGGTTTGCTCCCTGGCTGGGGATCAAACTCGTGCCGAAGTGGCTGGATAGCTTCATAGTGCTGATACTTAACCCCTGGTGCCACCGGGGGCCCCCCCAGAACTGGTGTCCTAAGCATCTGTCTGGTGACCCATTATGGGGACATTACAAGTCATTGGGGCTCCAGCCACCCAATGGCCCGTGTGAATTTGCACGTAATTTTCCAGCTACGATTCAGGGTCTAGTCATTACGGTGTCTGACTTCATCTCTTCCATGTTTGCTCCAGTTATGGAGCTGCTGCTGTGAGCCAGGGTATGGATGAGGCCTCCTGGACTCAGGGGACTATGATAGCTTTGGGGAGGGGTTTAGATTTGAGAGGGGTGGTAGAAGCACACAAAAATAGACCAAATAATGGTGTCCTGTCTAGGGGAGAACATTTCCTAGGCAGGGAGTCTCCCCAGAGGCGACTCTGCTGCCTGACCACCATCACGTCCAGGGCAGCTTCCTACCTAGTTATTGATAGAGGAAAAGGGAGAGGTTGATGAGCGGAACCCAGGCAACTGCTTCCTGGGAGGCTGGGTGGTGCCTGGACAAACAGAGACACCTGGGAGGGCTTCTGGTCAACAAGGGCATCTGTGGCCCCTCCTGGGCGAAGGGCTGGGAGGCGAAGTGGGTTCACTTCTGGTCTCACCTGCTGTCCGAGTGGTGAGGAGGCAGGACCCAGAGTATAGACTGCACTAGGGCTGCGCTGGCCAGGCCGCTGGCAAACTTGGGGGCCAGGTCACAGCCGCTGCCTCTCTCCCTGACCCTCCTCTCTCACCACCTCCTCAGATGCCTCCCAGGCCTTTGGAGCTGTGGCTCTCACCCCATGCTTCCTGCTAGGGTCACCTAGGTAGCTCTACCCCACACCCCACAGTGTTTGTTGCTTTCTGTGCTTCAACTGTTTATATGCATGTCAGGGCAGATCTAAAACTGTGATGGAAGCTGTCCTGGTGCAAACCCAAAGTCGAAATGTATAAAATGCTACTGTCTTTTAAATTTTTTAAATTATTTTTTAAAGATTGATTTATTTATGCATACAAGAACTGAGTATAGGCCAGAGGTGTGGGGGGTAAGGGGATTCACCAGAGACAGAGTGGGGAGCAAAACAGGTGAATTGACTGAAATACACTGCTGAGGGGACCAGTAGGTGAGACAGGAGAGGTCTGCTGCGCCATGTGGATAACTCCCTGGCCAGCCAGGGATCGAACACATGCTGTGCTGCAGTGGCTGCGGATAGCTTCATAGTGCTGCAACTTAACCCCTTGTGCCAACAGGGAGGCCAGTTACTGTCTTTTTTTAACCAGCCTGCAGCTCACACTAGGAGGTCTATTAGTTTTATGGTTCAAACTTGGTTCCCTGAAGATTATTGAGAACACAGAATCAGTAGGTCTGTCTGGACTTAAAATCCTGCATCTCTAACAAGCCCCCATGGGTGCTGAGCTGCAAGTCTTTCGTCCTGTCTCCAAGGTGGACCCTGGCTCCAGGCACGCCAGCCTCTCTCTGCACCTCACGTAGTCCTTGTGCTTGTCCTGCTGTTTCATGGAAATGGAGTGAGAATCAATGACTCGAAACACACACAGATTGACTGTCATGTTTATGCTCCATGTTAACATTTTTCAACGTCCGTGTTCCCTTTGCTTCCTGTTTTTGACCAGTTGTCCATCCTGGGCAGAAATCAACCGTAAAGGATGGAGATTAAAGACGATTTAAACCTTGCAATGATGCAGATGGAGGCTGGTGATGGCGATTGTGGGGGGAGTGAGTCATAGCCGGGCATCTGGGGCGTGGAGCACCCCCCACCCCCCCACTGCCCTCCACAGTGCCTCTGCGCAGCAAGCACGGGGCTTGGGAGATAGGTAAGAATATTTTAAATACTTATTAATTTCAATATTGATGTTTGAAATAGGCAGTTACTGCTCGTAATGATGTACCTGGAAAAACCTTTGCTAACCCTGGAGATTTGTAGGCCTCAGGAGGGAAGCACAGACCGGTGAGGCTTGCCTGTTTTCGGTAGTGGCTATTTTAAGACTCTGATAAGTCACGGGCCGCTCTGGAAGAAAACGCCCACATGTACCTTACCCACAAAATCTCACGAAATTTTAGTGGTTGGTTTCTTAGATGCTGGTAACCAAGTACCCTTACTCAGACCATCTTTTTTTTTTTTTTTTTTTTTTTAGAGATTATTTATTTTTATACAAGAATTGGGGTACAGGCCAGAGATGTGGGGGGTGAGAGGACTCACCAGAGATAGAGTGGGGAAAAGAACAGGCAGACGGACCGAAGTACACTGCTGAGGGGAGCAGCAGGCGAGACAGGAGAGGTCTGTCCTGCCATGTGGGTTTCTCCCTGGCCGGCTGGTAATCGAACTTGTGCTGCAGAGGCTGCGGATTGCTTCATAGGTTGCGTCTCAACCCCTGCAAGGAGGCCCTACTCAGAACCTCTTAAGTACAGTCCTCGTCATTACTTTCCCTCAAATCCAGCCTGGAGTCTGCCTCTCTCCCCTCAGGCTTCCTCAGTGGCTCTCCATTGGCCACAGCAACTTCTCCATGTGTGCCTGTGGTCAGCCCACTGGCATTGGTTGATGCCTCTTAAAAAGGCTGCTTTCTGGGTTTCACGCTGAGCTTTGGGGTCAGACTCACTGGCTTTAAAGTCAGGGCCATTTTCAGGAGGGGGTGGGAGCCAGGCTTTGCAAACTCTGAGGTCCCAACACACCTCAGCTCTAATGAATAAAATGCACCCACAGGCCAAATAACCCTTTTCTGTAACATTTTTGAAAAGATGTGTATTAACTTTATACATCTACATTTAAAGATGATTCATAGTCTTCCCCAGAACCTTCATTACACCTAACCTACAGCTATATTAAGAATTCTATTGTAGGGCCTCCCCGGTGGCGCAGCGGTTGAGTGCTGGGTTGCGAAGCTGCCCGCGGCCTCTGCGGCGCCGGTTCGATCCCCGGCTGCTCCCCGGCCACCAGAGGAGGGTCCCACATGGCGCGCAGACCTCTCCTGCCGCCCGCTGCTCCCCTCAGCAGTGTACTTCGGTCCTTCTGCCTGCTCTGCTCCCCGCTCTGGCTCTGGTGAATTCTCTCACCCTCCCGTGCTTCTGACTGTACCCAGTGCATGTATAAAAACAAAAAAAAAACAAAAAAACAAAAAAAAAAAAAAGAATTCTATTGTAGCTATTGCCAGGGTTATCTTTTCTAGTCTTAACGTTACTCATTCTGATTTTTCTTTTTTTTTGGGTCAAATTTTAGAAAAATTTTTCACTTGTTGGACCTTTTTGTAGGCTCTTGAAAAGCAGGAGGAAGCTGAGGTTGTTCAGCTAATGCCCAGTAGAGCAAGACTGTCCTGGGTGGGGTCTAGAAGTAGATTTTTAGTAAGCTCTGAATGGGAATTTCATGAAAATTTGAACTCGGAGGATTTAAGAGTGCAAGAGAAGGTATCACCAAAGGCTCACACTGTGTGCTAAATTTGATTTTAGTGTGTGTGCTGTGGCAGCGAGCACTGTGTGCTGAATTTGAAATAATGTCTCTCTCCTGAGAAGTTGAGTCAAGTTCTTCATTTCAAAGCCCGAGCACAGTAAGCTGTGTTTTGACATGGACGCCACAAGGGGGCACCACCCAGGCTGGTACAAGGGAAGGCGGCCAATACTAGAGCTATTTGGTCGGACCTCAGTTCTCCAGCCCATGGTGTTTGTTTTCCCTCTTTACAGGCAAACTTGGATAGGCTTTGAGGTATTTTTGTAGACTCCAGTGTACTTCCAGCTGACCGGTTTTCTGTGACTTTTGCCATTCTAACACCATTTAAAGGTATGCTTGGTTAACCCCTGCGCTTGTCCGTGTTGTAAAGGGTGGCCATGGAGGCAGGAGGGCTGCTGCAGTCTGGGGGGAGGGTCGGGGTGTTGAGAGGGGAGGAAATGGGAGAGAAGGGGAAAATGGCAAAAAAGTGGGAAATGAGAAGACAGAGAAAGGAGTGAGGAGCCAGAAGCCAGTCCCCAGAATCTGATCTTCTCTGGAATCCTTTTGCTGTCAACATGCAGGTCTTAGCTTAGGCTCAGCCTACTCTGACCTCACACCAACTGCCCAGTTCTCTTTCCTCCACCCCTCCCTCTCCACACACTCCTGACTGGTGAATCTCTGGCACTCAGCCCCTACTGCTCAGCAGTTAAGTGTAGACTTGAAGCACCTAGCACAGGCCTGCACATAAAAGGCAGTACTGTTTATGCCCTGTGCAGGGCCTTTGTTGCAGCCAAATGGATCTTCTGTGGTTTCCTCATATACACAGGGAGCTCTCACCCTCTGCCAGGAATGCGCCCTGCTTCAGATGGTATCTCCTTTGTGAAGCCTCCCAGAGCCCTCTTGGGTATGGATGGAAGTCAGGATTTTCCAATCCTCACAGAACCTGCAGCTTTTGGCCAAGCCAGCAGGGAAAACTGCACCAAGGCTGCATGCTAGTGGCATCCCATAAGTCTGGGGCACCAGCCCCGGGGGGCAGTGCTGCCCCACTTGTAGCACCAAGCCCTTTACCTCCCTAAAATGAGTTTTCTGTTGTGGACACACAGGCCATTTGGCAGAGACCACGGAGTCCTGGGTTCCAGAGGAGGCACTACCACTATCAGCCTTGGGAATTTTGAAACCCATCTTCTCAACCACCAAATGCAGACAATTATGCTTCCTTCGTTATTTTAGCCCTGAGATACACCCATGTCACATCAACTGGGTTAGCATTTGCAAACCTGTCCTGTTCAGATAATTGACCTGGTTGGTTCCACTGCCAGTTGACCTGTCTGATGTTGCTAGCTTTCCACAGGGTGATGGCATCCTGGGGAATCGTGCAGTGTCACAACTGTCTCCTGTCTCATTGTCTTCTGATTCTGGTCTTTCTGGATTTGGCCTCCAGGGCTGCTCTAAGAAAAACCCTTCTGCGGTGCAGTAAACCTAACTTATAAAAACCTGTTTTGAAAGCTACTATGGTGCCACGTGGCAGGTTATTAAGCAGATCAGTTTTGTAGCACACCTCAAGGCTACAAGTGCCAGTGCCCAGGGTTAGATGTTTCCAGAGCATTGTCACAGGGCTCTTTACCCAGCTCTCTTGCACACACCTCAGTAGGTTTCAGGTAACATTTAGCTTTAGGTCAGGGGCTGAAGCAAATGGGAAAACTGGATTCCTCATGACGATTCTTTACATCTGAAACCAGGACGAGTTCATGACCCACACCCTGGAGAATTATGTTTAGTAGAATGGCCCCAAGAACCACTGATACTGTCCGCTTTCCTTTGCCAAGGGCTGGTCTCCCACATTGATTTTCACAGCCCCTTAAAAACTTTTGCCACTCTACACAAACCCACTCCTAGAAGTATGCCTGTACTTCTAGGTGTGGACAGGTCAACTCCAACACCATGTTTGTCCTTCTTGTATAGCCCTTAAGCCAAGATCCCATTACTGAGAGCACTCAAGGATTTTCAACCAACCCGTCTGTCACCTCACAGGGCAAGTTCCTCCACAGCCGAGCAGTCACCCCAGAATCACTCAGGTTGTGGCCAAGTGGCAAGTCACAGGCAGCACCTTCTCAGAATACTGGTAAACACTGTAGCTCTGGCAAAGTGTTCAAAACAACCGACCCGCAGGTCACTTGGAGTCACAGGCAAGTTCACTGAAGATTTTCTTGGCCATTAAGTGCATGTAGGCACCAGGTGAAAAGCTATGGACATAGAAATAACCTTCCACTGCCTGTTTTCTGTGGTTCCTTCACACATTCAGAGATTAAACAGAATCTGCAAGTCAGGTGTTTCTGAAAACAAGTTTTATTTAAATAAGGGTTTAAATACATTACATAACATTAAAACTGAAGGGGGGAAAAAAAAACACCAAAAATCAGTTGTTACTTCACATGGCATGGGGCAGCTGCTGCTAGTAAGTTGCAAGCTCTACAGCTAGCTACATGACTGATACATCAGTTTGAAATTTGTTCCCTTGTCAAAAGTTTAACTCTGAAAACAGAAGACTGGCCTCACGTTCTGGTGTTGTCATTGGATTAGCTAGGATATGTCTGATCATAGATGTCCTGTCACCTCACTAGAGGGAAGGTGGCCACTCTGGGCTCTGGCCAGGTTGGAGACATCAGGGCATCCTTCCTTTACTACCGAAGGCTCCCTCTAGGTTATGGCCGTCGTTGCTGCCTCACCCCATTCTCTCCTCTCAGCCTCACCGAGGGCTGTTCAGGGGGTGGTGGTGACATTCTCTTAGGGCAGGGAACTCTGTGGAGGGAGAGCCGAGGAGCTTCTGGCCAGACATAGACAATAGTGATCTTGGGGTTCTGGCCATGGCTGAAACATCAAGTTATTGCTCTGTTTCAGGCTGGACTCTGCCAGGCGCCTACTGCTTGATCTCTGTTTAAATGAGGGACTTCAAGACTAGACAGCATGGCTCTTTTCAGTTTATTGCATGAAGGAGTTACACTAGTCCAAGTTAAAAGCAGACCCCAAATGGTTACATTATACAAGCTGTGAGGTTTTTAAACTTGTGACAAGGGACAGAAGGGAAATTCTACTCATTGCAAGGAAATCCTCACTTAAGCTTCAGTGAGCCAAAAGCACTTAAAACCCATGAACCTTCAGCTGGTCGTCCTTAGCCAGTCCAATCTGCAAAGAGAAAAGGGCAAAGTTTAAAGAGGGGGTAGAGTCAAAGCTTTCATTTCTGGTGTCTGGTGGCAACAATCCTGTCTTTTTTTTTTTTTTTTTTAAAGATTTATTTACTTATGCATACAAGAACTGGCGTATAGGCCAGAGGTGTGGGCGGGGTGTGTGTGTGTGAGAGAGGATCCACCAGCGACAGAGTGGGGAACAGAACAGGCAGACTGACTGAAATACCCTGCTGAGGGGAGCAGCAGGCAAGTCAGGAGACGTCTGCTGCACCATGTGGGCAGCTCCCTGGCTGGGGATCGAACTCATGCCGCCCCAGAGATTGTATACAGCCTCATAGGTTGCATCTTAACCCCTTGCGCCACCAGGGAGGCTCACAATCCTTTTTGCTTCTATACTGTCAAGAGTCCAAGTGCCAAAGCACAGCCCTCAACTGCCAGAACATAATGGTTCTCAACTCAGGGAATGTACGCAAACTCCTGTGTCCCCAGCAGAACCTGAGACCTGCCTGGGCAGAGGAACAAGTGTTATTGGGAAGTGACTGCACCCACCTCTACGAGGAACTGGCATATGTTCTTGCGCTGGTCACCCTGTAGCTGAATTACTTCTCCATATTCTGGATGCTCAATTACAGTACCATTGCAGGCAAATTTCTGCAAGCACCAAAGGAAGCAAAAACAAGTCAGGCCAAACAACGGCACTAACAATTCCTTTTCAGAAATAACACAACACAGCACCCTCAGGCAGGGGAGACTTCAGACCTACCTTCTTAAACGCCTTCACTAGTTTCTTTTTATCGTAATCATCAGCGATCCCTTGGACAGTAGTAAGGGTCTTCCTGCCGTTTCTCTGTTGAATTCTTATATGGATATAATCCTCAGTGCCAGCAGGAAGCAGATCATCACCCTTACTTGCATCAGCAAAGGGGTCTGGGGGGGAAAAAGGCCAAACTCGTTTTGAAACTGTCCTGGCTCAGAGTTTGGCGCGTGCAGAAACTAATCCTGAAACTGCCGGGGCCTGGGTCGGATCACAAGTGTCCTCTGTTGGCGCGCTCTGAACAGGTCAGTCCGGGACAGCCGGCTTCCCGAGGCTGTGGGAAAGCCAGGGCCGCCCGCCCCAGGCCCGCCCTCGGGAGCCGATCACGTGTGGAGGAGCCCGAGCTGGCAGGCGGCGCCCCACCCGGCTGATGCAACCGCCCGGAACCCGAGCTCCGAGGCGGGGCCGAGCTTCCCGCCCCATTGGCGCGCGGGTTTGTCACTTAGGGCTGGCGCCGCCTCTAGCTCCCCGCTCCGTGACAACGGCGAGTGACGAGTCGGACGTGACGCAGGGGTGGCGGGAGGGGCGGGTGTGGCCCGCGGCGGCCCGGGAGCCATTAGCCATTGCGCCACCCGAGAGCCCGGGCCCGCCCCAGGGCTGACCTCCCGTCCGCTCCTTCCGGTCGCGCTCAGGGGCCGACCCCGGCGCCCGGGCCCCCGCCCGCCCCACGGCCCGCCGGCGCGGACGCCCCTCTCCCGCCCCCGACGGCGAGGGCCCGGGGCGCCCGATCGCTTCTGGCCCGGGGCGCCCCGCCGCCCCGCCCCGGCCTCCCCCGCGCCGGGAGCGCCCGCAGCCTACCGAAAGAGTGGAGGTTCTGGATAGCGGACATACGATACGATTCCTTTTCCTCGGTGGAAACGGCCTGCGGAAGGCGGCGGCGGGAGAAGGCGGGCGGGGGGACGGAGCGTCGGGAAGCGAGGGGGCTCGAGGGGGAGGCTGCTGAGACCTCGGCGGCGGCTCAGTGACTGGGGCGGCGGGGCGGCGCCTGTATTCACTTATATAGCCGCCCCTGTGACGCCAGCGCGCTGCCCTCACGTCCCGACCCCACCCACGGCGTCGTGCCCTGAGCGTCCAGGCGCCACCGCTTCCAATTGGTCCGGGGACGGGGACGCAGGACTGCGCCTGCGCAGGAACTCGGGGCTGCGGGAGGGCGTCCTGTCGACCCCGGGAGAGGCGGGAGGGGGAGGGAAAGCTTGGTGGGGGTCGGCGCCTGCGCAGTGCGGGTGGAAGGTGTCTGGGCGGTCCAGAAAGCGGGTGGTGTTTTCTGGACGCGCCTGCGCACTTTGTTCCCTGGCACGTTCCAGGTTATTGGCCCTGTTGCAGACCTACCTGCTTGAGAAGGATTTACGACTTAGAGAATTAAGATGCTCTGCCGCTGGAGCAGGACCAAGTCCCATGCCCACTGATCTGCACACCTAGTTGCCCCTTTACTCTGTTTTTACAGGAAGATTTGGGGCACAACTTAATCTAATCAACATACATTAATATGAAAACCTTAATCTTAGATTAATTTATCATTTCGATGAATCTCATCTAAAAACGGGTTTATCTACTCCCAATTAGGGAGATTCCTCGATAATCTAAGGAAAGAATGTCCACCTCATTAGCACAAATTCAAGGGAGAATAACACCAGTTCTGGGGCCTGATAAGAATTCAGGCACCAGAAAGGTGTCATACAAATGGGTGTCCTACAAACTGTGTAGGGTAGAGCCTTCCCAGAGCTTTGCTGAAATATTTTCCTTCGAAGCAGTCAACCTTCCTGTCCCTCTCATTTTATTTATTGAAATGCTCTCAGTTGTAGGGACAGGTAGAGTGGTTTTAGACTCCAAATGGGCCAGGCGGGCAAGATAAGGGAGAGCAGACAGCCGAGTGTGATGTAATGGGGTGTGGCGGGGGCTGGTAGGAGGGAGTTAGCAATGGCTATGTGCCTCCAGCCATTGTGTTAGCTCTTCTTTTTCAACAGAATCTGGGATTCTAGATTAAAACTCTTGATTTTCAAATATTACCAATCAGTCGAATTTGGGGAAAAACACCACACAAATCCAAACTAACAAAATGTCAACCCCATGGTGACCCCTTGACAGGGTCACCGGCCTTGCAGAGACTAGTGGGAGAGACAGTAAACATGGTGATCGGCGCCAAGACAGGAGTAAACAGGGTGATGTGAGCAAGTGATATTGGCCACGCTCTTCTGCAGTTGGGACATACAGAGAATGACTCTGAGGAGGTGACATCTGGCTCACAGTCAGCTGGTGGGGAAGAGCCCAGTGGGGACCAGGGGAGAACCTGCCAGATGGAAACCCCCAGGGCAGAAAAGCTAGGTGTTGTCCTCATTTTATTTTGATTCTGTATTTACCAAATAATCTCTGATTAATAGCTTGGCTAGAAGTCATGGGTGTCCTCATCTCACACCCATCCTGGTCTGAGAAATTGAGGACCCAACCTGCTGTCAGCCTGGGAACGTCTATATGCACAGATGTGGCTTTGCTTGAAAGGGGCTTGGGGAGAGAGGGTGACTGAGCCTGAGCAAGCCTTCCTGCTGTGTGCACGAGTTTTATTATATGAAACTTAAAATAATGATATGGTGCAGTTTATCCATCTTTTAGGAAAAGATCCTTTCTGTGTTAAAGAAATCATTTCTCGGGCCTCCCCTGGTGGCGCAGCGGTTGAGCGCTGGGCTGCGAAGCTGCCCGCAGCCTCTGCAGCGCCGTTTCATTCCCCAGCTGCCAGTGAGGGTCCCACAAAAAAAAAAAAAAAAAAAAAAAAAATCATTTCTCTGCTCCTGTTAGTGGGCAGAATGAGGGGCACCCTGGGACCCCCCACAAACCTGCTTGCTCTAAATGGGTTCTGCCATCCACCACGTAAAGATAAAACATACTTAGTACATAAAACCTTCAATAGAAAGGAACTTTAATACAATTAGTGCAATAGAAAGACGAGAAAGAATATACTTAAAATAGATTCCAATTAAACACCCAAAGTCATCCACCCCTTTGTGGGTAAATTAAACACCCAGGCAAAAAGGGTTAGCCCAAAGCAGGACCACTGAGGCCTGAAAACTTGCCACAAGTCTGAGGCACCTTCTGGTGGGGAACCATAGGAAAGGAATAGAAAGGGCCAGGTAAGTCTGGAAGGAAAAGAGCAAAATCAAAATACAAGTCAAGATAAAGGCTGCCATTGTCAGCCTTTCCAGGGGTCTCTCACCCACATCTCTTTCCATGTCCCCCAAGTCCCTGGTACAAGGTGGAGAAGCAAGCATGGCTTCTCCCTCACATGTCTCTGCTCCACATGCCTCCTGCAGGTCTTCTCCCCAGCCTTCTCTCCCCTGTCCTTTTCAGCTTCCCCCTGGCTGCTCAGCTCCACCCTTCCTTAGGTGGGGCAGGGACCCAGGAACCTCCTCTTTCTATGGCGATCACACTGTTTTTGTTTGTTTGTTTTTAAATATTTATTTATTTATTTATTTATTTATTTATTTATTTATACAAGCACTGGGTACAGTCAGAAGCGCGGGAGGCCGAGAGAATTCGCCAGAGCCAGAGCGGGGAACAGAGCAGGCAGACCGACGAAATACACTGCTGAGGGGTGCAGGGGGCGGCAGGAGAGGTCTGCGTGCCATGTGGGACCCTCACAGGTAGAGGCTGCGGGCAGCTTCGCAACCCAGCGCTCAACTGCTGCGCCACCAGGGAGGCCCGGATCACACTGTTATATCCCTATTTTATAAAGATATTCAGTATTTTCTTTGGAAAGCGTCAACGCTTTATTCTTCATATTTAGAACTTAAATCCACCTGGAATTTATTAAAATTAAAAAAAATTTTCTCATAGAAGAACTGGGTTGTAGGCCAGAGGTGCGGGGTGTGAGAGTATTCACCAGAGACAGAGTGGAGAGCAGAACAGGTGGATCTACTGAAACACACTGCCGAGGGGAGCACCTGAGTCAGGAGAGGTCTGCTGTGTCATGTGGGTAGCTTCCTGGCCAGGGATGGAACTCAGGCCTTAGTAGCTGCTGATAACTTGATAACACTGAGACTTTAACCCCTGCACCACCAGGGAGGCCCAAACCTGGAATTTATTTTTGTGTGTGGTGTGAGATAGGGCCTTATATACACCGTTTATAGAATCATACATCCTTTCCCCACGGACGCATGGTGCCTTTCTCTGTCTTAATCATTTTCCCATTTGTAGTGGGTCTCAGCTCTGTTCTACTTGTCCATGTATCCTTAAGCCACGCTCTCAACTACAGGAGCTTTACCAAAGTCCTCATGGCCAACAGCACCAACTCCTCTATTTTGTGCTCCAGAATTATCTTGGCTATTTTGGCTTTATCTTGGCTATTTTGGAATTATTTTGGCTTTCAGCCTCATGGTGGGTGCAGCTGGTCTCCCCACTCCACCATGGTGGTTCCCTGGCACACGGGCATGTTCTCATCTCGGGGTGCTTGTACACGCCCCTCTCCCCTCTGCTTCATCTGGCATCTTCCATGCCTCCCTTGGGACTCAGCTGGAATTATCTGTCCTCCTGTGCAGACTGTGTTTGGGGTCCTCTGTGCCCCCCACTCTCTATTTTGACATTCATCACGGTGCATTTGCTTGCCTGTCCCTTGCTGCCTAATTTACTGGGTCCAGCACAAAATGAAAACATGAGCCCTGTTAAAAAACAAAATCTACACGTTTAGAGATTTAATTAGCTTCATTAAATGACTCATAAAGGGGGCCCATCCCGTCTAGTAGGTGCAAAGGCTGACACAAAATAGAGGGCACTTCAGACAGGAAGAGGGTGGGACAAGGCTATTAGCTAAAGGAAAGATTTTTTTCAGGTACAACTACTTTCCCTGGAAGCGGGGGTGGTGGTGATTTATCAGACTGATGACCTCACTCACTGTTGATTGGTGTGGGATTATACTTTGGAGTTCAACCTGCAATAAGATTAGGGCCCAACTTGTAACTTACTCCATGTTGGGCCTGTGTTTTCTAGTTTTTTAAAAAGATTTATTTATGTATGTAAGAACTGGGGTACAGGCCAGAGGTGTTGGGGGTGAGTGGATCCACCAGAGACAGAGTGGGGAGCAGAACAGGCAGACTGACTGAAATCCACTGCTGAGGGGAGCAGCGGGTGAGACAGGAGAGGTCTGCTGCGTCATGTGGTACCTTCCTGGCCGGGGATTGAACTCGTGCTGCAGTGGCTGCAAATAGTTTCATAGTGCTGACACTTGTGCCACCAGGGAAGCCCCAATAGTGACTTATTCTTGACTGTGTTCCTTGTTCTGTGCTAGCCTGGCATTCAGAGACAGAGCACATGCACTCAGGCCCAAACCTCTTCCTGCCTGGGTGTCTCAGCCTCTTCCAGGCTCTATCTTGCCTTCTGCATGAAAGGATAATGATAGCTGTCTTGTAGGTTCTTTTTTTTTTTTTTTTTTAATTTATTTATTTGTTTATACAAGAGCTGGGATACAGGCCAGAGGTGTGTGAGGGTGAGAGAATTCACCAGAAACAGAGTAGGGAACAGAACAGGCAGACAGACCAAAGCAGTAGGTGAGGGGAGCAGCGGGCGAGGCAGGAGAGGTCTGCCGCGCCATGTGAGTATCTCCTTGGTGGGCAGGGAATCGAACCCGTGCTGCAGAAGCTGCGGACAGCTTCACAGTGCTGCACTCCACCCACTGCACCACCGGGGAGGCCACTGTCTTTTAGGTTCTTGAGGCAATTTAAAGAGGAGGATATGGGGGCCTCCCCTCCCTGGTGGCGCAGTGGGTTAAGCGCTGCTCTGTGGAGCAGCCTCTGCAGTGCGGGTTCGATTCCCAGCCGGCTAGGGAGATTCCCACATGGTGGGGCAGGCCTCCCCTGTCTCAACCGCTCCTCCCCTCAGCAGTGCCTGTTCTGCTCCCCGCTCTGTCTCTGGTGAATCCTTTCAGCCTCCGGTGCCTCTGACCTGTATCCCAGTTCTTGTAGAAAAATAAATAAATCTTTATT